GGTCTGCCAGCCATAATCAAGACAGCCATCTTTTTGTCTCCAATAACTTTGACACATCTTCAATTTAGCATTACAGCTACCTTACATGAACGAAGCGGACCTGACTATTTTTCGAGCTTACAAATTTGGGAAATCTCTACATTCTATGAAATTCTTCCTTGGAGTTCATGGTTTAATGAGGAACGCTATGATACAGGCCTCAATCGTTTTCAAAGTACCATCCGTTTCTACCAAAAACTTGAAACTTTATTCGATGATTATTCCTACTTTATGACTGATGGACTCCGAATCATCTGCACTGACATTTGCATGGGGGAAACCTCACATCACAGAGCTACAAAGGCAGTCATTGATAAATGGATGACTAATCCACCCATTGGGCCAGAAACCAAAGAAGCTTATGATGTTTTTATGGGTGCAAAACAATATCAAGAGGAAGCCTTCATTCAAGAAGAAGAAAAAGAACCCGTCTCTTCGAATAACGCATCAATTGACAGCGATTTGGTCGAGGAGATAACACATAGATGAGATAATCTCTGACATATGGTAAAATTCACATACCATTAACTTATGGTAACTACTGATTAATATCAACGGCTTAAACACTAAGTCGATCACACATTGTCTTTTCCAAAAGTTTAAAATGTCTAACTTTTATAAATTTCTTACACAACTAAATAAAGTAGACTGCAGCTAAAATACAGGCCTACATACCTACAACCAATCAGCTTTGGATGCTTATAGAAGAAGAAATTTGGTCAAAAAGGCTACATGAAAAGTAACTATTCTGCCTTGGATACTGAAAGATGCTGCATTTCTGTCAAAAAGGCTAGGCTACTCTACGTCTCTTAGGTGTTGACAAAATTGAAGACGGTGAGGACCTCCAAGCTTTAAAAGAAGCTTTAAAAAATGAAAAAGAATCTTTTGCATAGCTCCAGAAAAAGTCTATAAAAGGAGAAGGAGTTGAGGCATTGAGGGGGGAGGCGTTTTGGAGAGTTGAAGTCCTATCCTCTCTAGTGAAATCCCTCCAGTTTCCTCTTTTTAGTTTTAAGTTTTAGTTTAAGTTTGAGTGAGGTTTGCTTTTAATCTTTCTTTTGAGTGTTTGTAAGATAAGTGTGCTCTACTACTACTTGAGTGAGGTTTGCTTTTAATCTTTCTTTTGAGTGTTTGTAAGATAAGTGTGCTCTACTACTACTAGCTTCAACGGATCTCCCAGCTTTCGGTTTGTAAGTGTTTAAGTTTATTTTCTTTCCAGTTTGTAAATCTCTTATGTAAATACTATCTAATTTGCTTCTGTTACTGTTCACTTCCGCCTCTGTTACTGTTCATTACTGTTCACGCCATTACTGTTCATTTTTACTATTCATTTTTATATTTTCTTCTTTTATTTTTGATATACATGTGAACGAAGAAGAAGATATAGCTATAAACAATAGATATATCCTCTCCTCTGTCTACACAGTATTCCCCACGAGCTAGCTCTATCGTATCAAGGCTAAACAAGTCTTGGTCACTGTTGTTTTGATATACATGTGAATGAAGAAGAGGATATATCTTACAATTACTCTTGATACGATAGAGCTAGCTCGTGGGGAATACTGTGTAGACGGAGGAGATGATATATCTATTGTTTATAGCTATATATTCTTCTTCGTTCACATGTATATCAAAAATAAAAGAAGAAAATATAGAAATGAATAGTAAAAATGAACAGTAATACAATATTATACTAGCAGAGTGTTAATGTATTGGATAATACTAGGCTCTGATCATGATATTGACAAACCCCTAACAATCCAGAGTATAACAAAACATCCATATTCTTCCAATAATACAAAGAATTACTATATGAGACCCACTCCTACCGATATGCAATTTGAAGAATTTAATAGCCAAAAAATAAGTTTTGATGGTAATTCCCTAGTAGAATGGAACCTTGATGGTTATACTGAATATCAAATAATACATCTATTACAAGAAATGCTTATATATGCCAACGCATGTAGACAACAAGGTAATCCCGAAAAAGATATTGCTAGTGGCCTATGTTCATCATTTTCTGGTCAATTACAGGGATGGTGGGATCGGTACCTTACTGATTCACAAAAACATAATATTTTAAATAGTTATAAAAAAACCCACTCGTCACCCTCTCTCTCTCTCTCTCTCTCTCTCTCTCTCTCTCTCTCTCGATCGATCGATATATATAGAGCATTAGAAAATTGTGAGTAATGATATTTTTATTGTGTAGACAAATCTATAACCCCTAATTTCTCACCTAACCCAATCTTCATGTGGACCCCACATGTAGAAAATATTATAGGAAATAGAGATGCTACATTGGCACCACGTCAACATTTAAGGAAGTATCAGCATTAGATTTTTTAAATTTTACCCCAAACGATGTGATTGAAAAATGCTATTATAACTCACTTGCCTAGGATAATTGTATTATATATAGGATACATAACTCATCTAGAATATCCATATCTCCTAAGTGAATTTTGCTGTTGTGAGAGCAATATGTTAGAGGCTCGTATTCAAACTTTTTGGCTCTATAAAAGACACAAGAATTTGGAGTGCATAACTTATATATCGTAAAAAACATATTAATTCATGAAGAATTTTTTCTAATAATGATATTATTATAATGATATTACTATTCAATAATAAATTAATTTTATTATATAAGATTGTATGACCCTTTTTAATAAATTATAAAGTATATATATGAAAACATTGATGTTTATATCCAGTAGTTGGGCACCACAAAATAGGTTAACTTTACATTGTAATTTGCTATTTGTAGTACTGTTGACAATGCTATTACCTTTCCTCTTTATCTTATTATTCACACTTTTCTGATGCAAGTTCTCTTTTGCTAGTCATTCAATTGACTATATTTAATTTTTATAATATCAGATGTTAGAATATTCTCTTCTATTTAAAAAGTCTTGACATGATTTTCTTAAAAAATATATACACATGTTTGGGTGAAAAGTTGATTTCATTGATGAGTTCATTACAACTTTATACGTTTATAATAAACTCAAGAAAATAGCCTTTTTATAAGACTTTTAATCAAAAATTACAAATTTCTTTCAAACTACACACAATATCAGTTTATCTCCTATTGCTTGCGTGAGATCTTGGTCGATGCCAGAGTTTATCCGTGGATCGCCTACGGATCGGATCCGGTTGGCAGAAGTATTAATTAGAGCTTTTACTTCACCAAGGAAGCATTCACTGAAGTACTGATATCGACCAAGTGAAATCAGTACTCTTCTTGAGATTAAGACCAAGCCTAATCTCAAGGAAAGGGGGTAAGGGTCTTCGGATCCTTCGAAAGACTCATTCTTTATGCCAAAGTTTGTTGGGATCTAGCTAGCCTCCTCTGAAATTTTGTGCTTCTTGACTCTTCAATTCAGCAACACCTCCTCCTCTTAATAAAAATTCCAGCCCTATAGAATGAAGGCCTCAGATTTATATTTATAGGCCTTAGATGCGGTTATTTGGATGAGAATAGGAGATTTGGCCTTATCTTCAGTCAATAACAGCCTACCCACGTGTAGAGATGATATCAAGTCAGTTGGGAACCTCTAGAACAGGTAAATCTTGTGAAAACTCAGCGGGTCACCTCTTGGTGACTCGCGTGTGCGCAGGTCACCAAGTGATGACTCACGCCCCACGCAGGTTTTGATCTTTTCGGTGTTTCCCGACTTTCTCAGATTTGTACTTTCTACCGTTTTTCACATTTGGTTATCTTGTTGACTTGTACGCTTTGATAACTCGCTTCATGCGCTCGTTAGCTTCTTTACAGTACTTGGAGCTGACCGACAAGCATGGTGGACACTCAGGTAATCCTTCTTGACCCGGATGATGACGTTCATCGTCTTCTCTTCGTCTCGAGCTGCGTGCGGACACCTATAGGCATTTTTAGACGCCTACAGTTACCCCATCCAAAGTGTTTCAGTCTCATTCTTTTATAAAGGAGTATGAAATGCTTTGGATGTGATAGACCCCCACATTCAGTCGGTGCAAAAGGACCTGTAACTGGCTTCAGTTGTTGACTTCTTTATTTTTCAGCCTATTCAGTATTTTATCGAAGAGCTGAAATTCTTCCGGCGCTGCGTTATCGTCTGACCGTTGTCAAAGTCTCAAATTGAAACTAATTTATTGGTTTCTGAACTTAGTTCGTGTCGTTGAGTCGACGTCAGACTGATTACCTTCATCAGGGATTAATATCCCTTGAACTAGGATTGATTCAAATCTTGTTTCGGCAAAAACTGTTGAAGCATCAACCTTCATCACGACGCACTGACCAGTGTTGACTAATGACTATGCGTTGACCGACGTAGACTTTCATCACAACGCATTGACCGGCGTTGACTTATGCCTATGCGTTGATCGACGTAGACTTTCATCACAACGCGTTGATCGACGTTGGCTCATAGCTACGCATTAACCTGCGTAGACTTTCCTCACAACGAGTTAACCGACGTAGACTTTCCTCGCAACGCGTTGACCGGCGTAAACAGTTTATACTCATACGTTCACAGTTTAACCTCTTAAGACGTTGGAGCGGGGAGGACCAGTTTATACTCATATACTCCTAGGAGTTTCGGGAATCAGTTTAGCCTCGTGTACATGTTGGAGGTTGTCGGGTTATCCTTAAGAATATTACCCGTAATATTCTCCAGGAACTTCCCGTCTAGGGTGGGAAACAGTTTGAACTCATATACCCATTGGAGTGTGAATACGGGTATGGAATACATCGAAGATGAGCGAGAGCGGGTGAAAATACCGCGAAAACCACCGCCAGACTAACCCCGCGTGCGGGTTAGTCACTTCTGACCCACGCGGGAGCGGGTCGGTCACTGCTGACCCGCATGAGTGCGGGTCGGTCACTGCTGACCCGCATGAGTGCGGGTCAGTCACTTTTGACCTACGTGGGAGCGGGTCAGATTCTTTCTGACCCGCGTGAGTGCGGTTCATGAAGGCGGTGTTGGGGTTTACAAAACCCGATCTCCCTAAGTCTTCCCCACTTCTTTTCTTCTGCCGATTTCAGATTTCTCCTCTTCTTGAAACTCCAGTCTTTCAAGAACCCCTTTGCTTCAAGAGTTCAAACAAGATTAAGATACCCCCAAGCTCCTTAAATTCCTCAACTTCCTCAAATCTCCAAGCAAGGCAAGCTAGGATTCGGCCATCTTTTGACTTGGGTTCAACATCGGTTGATCTTGCTTCGACGGGCCTTTCTTCTTCTTAATTCCTCTTCGAATCCAGGTAAGCTTCACTGCCCTTGCTTCAATTTTTGGTTGAATCTTTGAGCTTTGACTTTGATAATTGAAGCCCAAGTTCTTCGAATTTGGGGAAAACCAAAATTTGATCTTGGGCTTTTGAATGATGGCCGATTTTTGAGCTTTTGGTTGTGAAGAGAACTAAACCGAAATTTCAGCTTTAGCTTGACTTTAATCTTGCTCTTGAATTTCGATTTTGAGATTTAAGGATGATTAGAACCCTAATTTGGGTTCATGGGTTTCGGCTTTGGATGATAACTGAAATTCCGAGTTTAATTCTGAATGAGAACTAATATTGGAATACTTGACCGTGAATATTGACCTGATTGCTTGATGTCTGAAGTATTTGCTCAATTGTGTGTAATTTTGGATGGTAGCCAATGCATTGCTCTTAATCATGCATAGGGTTTGGACTAAACTCAGGTATTTGGTTGAAAGTACTGGTTTGATTTTGATAAAAACTGAAACTGAGTGTTGATTTTGGGCATAAACTGAGGCCACTGTTTGTATTCCGTTTGAGAACCGTAACTTGAGATATGTTTATGAGGTATTTGTCTTGGTTTCTAGGAAACAAAAGTAGGTCCTTGAACCTGAGTGTGGCTGAGAACTTTTGTCTTTTGATTCTTGTACGCCTGGTTTTGGACTTGGATGTTGTTGGAAGAACTTTGTTGTGCATGTCACATTCTCATTTTTGATGACCTTATGAACTTGTGGGATAGCCGAAACCCTTGAACTTCTTGCTTGGTTTCGATTGATGACCGAACCTATTCGCTTGCTTGATTTGGACCTAGCTCGGAGCTATCATCTCAATTTTGTGCATTGATAGAACTCCATGTTCCAATTTTGATATCCGTCGGTTTAACTGGACTTTTAATCGGAAAATCCTAACTTTTGTAGGATTTCAGATAAATTTCACAATTTCCATTTAATTATTAGATTTATGCATCTTGATTCTCGATGTAACTGAATTGTTGATCTTCGTTGCAGATTAGCCATGTCGACGAGGAGATCCCGCATTCCGAGGAGCTGCTCAGCCACTCAGTCGCCTGAGAGGGAGCCTCTATCTTTCATAGGTATACTTTTCTACCTATAAAGCCAGTATTTAACATATGATATGGCATATTGCATCCCCACTTTGTCCTCCTTGGTGAGGTAATTGGGAAGAGTTGACACGCTCCTTTGTAGGGGTCGACACTTATCAGATACGTTTGGTTGGTCAAAATGCATCTTGAGGCAATATGGGGCGATTTCTTGCCGTATCGCATTTTGTAAGATAGGGTACATCATCACGCTATTTGCGCGATGATGTACGTTATCCTGTGTGTTCGCGATAAAGTTAAAGTCGTCTCGCCAATTACAAGGTAGTGACTCTATCTCACGGATTCGTGAGACGAATTCAACGACCTGTATCGCCTCACCATTTTAAAAAAAAAATCATGTTTAATGAACACGGGTTATTCATTTTAGTTGAATACCCTGCGACGACATTTTATCCATTCGAGATAGATGGTCACATGAGTAGTTATTACACTACCGTTGACAATCCGACGTCGATTCCACCCACTTCTCAGTTTGTTTCGGACATCACAGATGATTTCTCTTAACTGGTATGGGAAGGGGATCGTCGCACCATGTGCTAGCTAATTACTGACATGCCGTTCGTGGACGATACAGATCCTGTTCATCCTCTAAGGAAGACGAATTATATGTTCGACGACTCCGTGACAGATTCAACCGCCATAACCCTCGGAGTTGAGCGGTGGTTATATAGCGATATCACAGCTTGTTTATACCTCCCTCCATTCCCTCGTCATCGCTCACTAATAGAATTGCAGAGGCAAGCGATGACGTGACAGATGTCGTGGACTCTGACAGCGGAACACAGCAATGTTCACTGTGGATATGTCACCAGTCACTCACTCCCGAGCTCAAGTGGTAGAAACCATATCATAGGGTTACACCCTGGTGTGATGGGATTGGGGGACTCGCCTAAAGGGGAGTTATTTACAGTGGCTCGAACAATAAAGAATCGCCTTGCTATGCTAGGGCGAGAGTTACCTATTGAGAATTATAGGTGCCATGGCTGGTCTCATTATTCAGATAAATTATGGTGGGGCAAAATGACAGGTTATGTTCTCAATTGATGGGGTGCTGAATTGAAGGCGATGGGGTTATATGAAGCTATTCGTGCCACTGAATAGGGGTTACCTATGAGCGTTATTCACTTTACTGAATTAATAGAGCTATACAATCCGGACACCAACACTTTTCTGACCAAGAACAGAGAGTTAGGACTACCTCTCCACGAGATGCATAAGGTTTCTGGATTATCGATGGGAGATCTGCCGTACCAGGAGTATTTTCCCTCCAACCGGGAGTTACTTCACTTAAAACCCACAATCCCTCTCGGTATGACACATTATGGGAACTTACGTGTCATTATCAGATAGCCCTACCTGGAACCAGTCCAATTGCGAGGAAGAAATCTTCTCAAATAAGCCTGAAAGAATTCTCGGGTTATCTATTCAAGAATTTGGAAAAATTCGACGAGGCGATTTGTGAGTTAAAATCGCTAACTTCTTCAGAGATTAATGAACTAATTGAGAAGTGTGGTGCCCAATCCTACACCATTGCGAGTGCCCAAGGTAGATTCCATGCGGGGACCAAGTTTAAGACTTTCTTATGATGCGCCCAAAAGTCCATTCACCCCAAGACTTTGTTGATCGGTTACATCGTACTTTGGTTGAAGAAGTGCGTGGTGCTATATCAGACCTCTGACGCCTTGCTGATAGAGGTGTTATTCCCTGCTGTTCAGCTTGCCTACGGAAAAAACTTATCTCTGCCAGCGATGGTCGCCGACATCCATCGTGGGCTTCGTCAAGTGGTTACAGCTTTTACTCAAGCGGAAGATACTCCATCCTATAAGATCCCTATGGTAAAAGAGGAGCTCCCTTGAACCTATCTGATGGGTTGGCTAGTTCTTCATCGTCCTGATTTGATATCAGCCCCAACTAAGGCCGATCTATCCACTCCTTTGCTACGATTACTCGAGGCATGCAAATAGAAAGCTCAGGACCTCTCAGATGTCAGGAAGAGCTTGCATATCCACAAGGGTTGGGTGTTCAATCCATGCTTCCCTCGATTTACCAGTCGATATAGTGGGTTGCTAGCCGACATAGAGGCGCCGGGAACAAGTTAGATTTCTCTCGACGTTGGCTGCTTCAAATGGTTGATGAATATAAGACCAGGCCATCTCATCTTCCGAGTGAAGGATCACTACTACCTGGAGCCTTATTTGTCGTGCCGGTTCGCCCGTCAACTTGGATACGACCAATTATTCATCGGGAACCCGAACCAGTAGTTTCATACTCGTGGTGGATTGATAGATGATGCTCAAGCCTGGTTGTGGAATGTGACGGGTTGTACTGGCGCTAAGTTCAGTCTTCCGAATGTTGAACGCCACTTAGAGCTGACATATTTATGTTGTAGATGGCTTATGGCAGCTAATGAACCCGTCCCTCTAAGGCCACTCACGGAGTTGATGGTCGAAGCTGCATCGCGAATTGCTGAGAGGATGGTCCGAGAAAATATACAACAACGAAAAAGACGTGACAAGAAGCTTATTGGTCCCTCAGGCAAAGGGAAGCAGAAAATGGAGGAAGCAGAAGAAGAGTCGTTCGTTTCCGATGAGGAGACTTCTGAAGAGGAAGAAGTCACTGCTAGTGGAGGTATGGAAGTTGATGTAGGCATCGAAAATTACCTATAGGTCTCCACGAACAGCTCAAAGCTAAGAGAAGACGATGAACGTCATGTAGGCATCGAAAATTACCTATAGGTCTCCACGAACAGCTCAAAGCTAAGAGAAGACGATGAACGTCACCATCTGGTTCACAGAAGCTTGATTGACGTTGACGAACGCTTGAAGTGAATCGGCAAACTATGTGAAGCAACGGAGTTTTAGAATAATAAAGATACGAACTGATCGGGAGCCCCATGTCACTTACAAAAGACGAAATGCCCTTCGTGTCTCATTTATTCCACAGATGATCTAATCATTGGAGCTTATAGAACTCTTCGTCAGCTTTCTAACGCACTTTGAATTGCTCAAATCCGAGTTCGGACGAAGAAGTTACGGCGGAAATGAACAAGTGTACATAACACGGCGTCTCAGCCTGAATGAGACACCCCGAGGTGTCTCGGCCCACCCGAGACACCCCAGGGTGTCTCGGCCAAGGCCGAGACACCCTAGGGTGTCTCGGATCAGTTTGAGACACCCTAGGGTGTCTCCAACCCATTTGAGACGCCCTAGGGTGTCTCCAACCAATTTGAGACGCCCTAGGGTGTCTCCAACGCAGATTTGGGCCTTTATGTGATTTTAACCACCCGTTATCCCCTCAAGCCTATAAATACAAGCCTGGCCCTTATGCGATTTTAACCACCTGTTACCCCCAAAAGCCTATAAATACAAGCCTTAGGCCTCATTTTTCTGGGGCTGGAATTCTCGTGCCTCGGCGAAGCCCTGCCGGATTGAAGACTTAAAGTACACAGATTTCAAAGAGGAGGAGGAGAGATCGGATCGAGTTCTTCAACGTAAGAGAGAGAGATTCGTCAGATCTACAGTTTCCCGGATTCGTTCCTTAGGATTATCCCGTTGCGGTAATCTTAAGAAGAGTGATTATCTCGCTTCACCGAGATAAAAGCTAAAGTTTTCTCGATCCCTTCGCGGATAGACAAAGCTCTGCCCAATTTTTCAGCAATCAGATTTGATCGACGGTGGTCCACGGATAAACCCCGGCACAGGCAAAGATCCCACGCAAGCAGAAGACCGATAAACGATCTCTGCGTTTGTTTGATAAAGTTGTAAACTTTTTTTGTTTTCATTGTGTAAAAGTCTTATAAAAAGACTGATTTTTGTATTCGTTGTAAACGTCTGAAGTTTGTAATGAATCTCGCAATGAAACAAGCAACTTTCTCCGCAAACAAACTGGTGACCACAGTGGGAGCCAACATCTTCGCTGCCGGAGCTGTCGTGCCGCAGCCGATGATCAAGATCCGGGTGCTCGAAGAGGTCGAATACGAGTTCGACTAGCAGAAGTTCGAGGAGTATGTCTCCCCCTCCTCTTCCAGATCCGCCTCTCCTGGCAAGCGCAGGAGTGCCTCCTCCTCCAGATCTGCCTCTCCTTGCAGGTGCAGGAAGGCCTCCTCCACCCAGAAGATCCGTCGGTCTCCAGATCTGAAGAACCAAGAAATCGATCTCCCCATAGCCGATGCTATAGTCGTACCTTGCAACGGTCCGCCGGCATCCAATGAGACCAGATCTGCAGATCTGAACTTCACGATTAAGGAGTCGGCTGCTGAAGGCGCGCCAACTCTATCAAAGAGAGCACGTCAAAGGAAACGACAACGCCTCGCGCGCCAGTTCGCCAAGGCTTTGGATCAGATGAATGGACTCCATTACCAAGCAGATCTGGAGCTCAGAAAGCACCAAGTGGCTAATCTGTCGCCACGACCAGCATCAGAATCCTCCTCTCGATCTCCAATTAACGAATGGGTTCGTGTCCAAAGAACCCGCTCTACTCTCGAGGAGCGAATCCAGAAGCGCCGCGCCTTGCGTGCGCATGCCCGGACCCTTGTACGAAAAGCACAGGAAATGCAAAAGGAAGAGGCAGTTAAGAGATCGCCGAGATCCAAACAAGTTTGGGCGCCAAAAGCCAAATCAGCGCCTAAGGCAAAAGCATCCGAAGCTGCCTTCCGGCCTTTGTCAACTCCAGATCCCGCTCCTATTGCTCCCGCACTTCCGGTGAAGCCCTATGACAGCGTGGGTCTCTCCAAATCTATAATCCCATTGAGGGATCGTGTCGGTGCCCTACCCGAGAATCGAGGAAAAGCGCTTGTTAAGGAAAGCTGGAGACCGTTAAAGGAGCTTCGAACAAACATCCGGACTGGGGGTCGTACGCGACCTCCTGGCAAATTAATTTCTACAACAGCCCGCTCGGAGGTACGTGCAGAAAACCAGGAGCCCGTTAAGGTTTCACCCTCACAAGGGTGTAATTCCAAAAGTGTGACTCCTGTA